TTTAACTAATTTAATATGTAACGGAAATGGCCAAGCTTAAATTTAAATTTCAAATATACCTTAAAATAAACACGAAAAAAAAACTTACTTAATTTAATTTCGATGATATACCTTTTTTATGACTAAGCCATACGGAACAAAACTAATTTATATCTAAATTAAGAGTTAAGAAAAGGTAATTAAGTAACCTTTCCTTTAAAACTTCTTAATAATATTAATATTATCTATTCCTTGTAAATTCTAGTCTTTGGAAAAAATAAAAATAAATAATTCAAAACCATTTTTAACCCATATATAGTTCTTAGAATAGTTCCAAATATACTTCTTATAGCCATGCTCCACACTGTACATGCTAAATAATGTGTGGAAAAGGCGTAACTCTCCGGAATTAACTCAAACTGTCGACAGACCCGCAAAACGAAAGCATTTGGTCAAAGGGGGAAAAGACTGGAGAACAGGGACATAAAGTGGGTGGATAAAGAGTACCAAAAAAAAAGGGGTTCGGTTCCGACAGAAGGAGATCCCCGGTTGCTGGCACTCGAGTTTCAATTTAAATGCAACTGACATTAAATTTACTACTTTGCCACACTACACGCCACAGATACAACTACTGTGGGAGATGTGTCTGCCAGAAGAAAGAGACGCCACAACAGCGGCAGAAAGAGAGGGCAGCACAAATAGAGGGAGCTGGAGAACAGGATTTGTGTTTGCCGGTGGTTCTGCTGGTTCCACTTCCCTTCTCTTTCTCACCACTACAGAGAAACAAATAAGAACCCTTATCTAAAGTTTTTTCTGACTTCTCGGATAAAGTGCTTCAAGAAATGATCATAACTATCATTAATATTTAATATTCCTGTATCCCAATTTTTGAAAAACGTATTTTTAATAAGATTATTCCAAATATTGTCTGTTTTTTTCCTTTTTTTTATGTAATTTTCAGCTTGTAAATATTTTGAAATTTATTTTAACTATTATGAGGACTTTTTCGCAGTGCATTCAGGCGTTCGCTCCGCAAGTTTTGCAACTAAAGTTGAGACTTTGGGTGCGGTAAATTGGGAGCAGGGAGGGCTGTGAGGTGGTGTGCCTGCACAGACATTGTTGCTGTGTGTCTGTAAAATAAATTTAATGAACTAGCGCAACCATAAAGCTTAACTTATCAAGAATGCCAAACTGCAGGGGAAAGACTCCAACCGAAGTCGAAAACGAAACGAATCGACGTAAAAACGCAGAAAAGAGGGCAAAACTTTAACATATTGCACAGTGGCAGTTGCAATTTATCGATGGGCTTTAATTGGTAATGCTCAGGCTTTGTTTTGCCAAGCCATGAAAGATACATGAAATTGAAAACTAGAAAATAATGTCAACAAAGAGTTTTTACAGGATACAGACCAGACTTTACTAACTTTCCCTATAAAGAAAAAACTCTACAAACTTTAAGAGATCAACACAAGTTTTGTTGAATTTTCCGCAATCAAATATTTTAGTATAAAACTTTTTAAGATAATGATACATTCCCATTCTTTGACCATTAAAAGCAACACAATCTAGTCAATACCATTTGCATAATTCCTTTCTCTTTCTCGAAGCCATAAAATTGGTGAGCCCATTTTCCAAATTTTACGGTCTTTTTATATAGTTTTAAAGCCACTGTTCGACTTTCGGCAATACAAACACACATAAATGCAAACAACCGACACTTTATGGTTAAACTCATTTGACTTGTTGTCCAATTGTGCAATAAACTAACAACGACAAATAATTGTAGAAAATGCAAATTTTTTAGGCAAAAGCACAATACAAAAAGTAAAATGTGCTTGAATTCAAAGAAGTCTAGAAAAACGAAAGCAATATTTTGCGTGAGTCAGGATAGGTTCAGTGAACTAAGCTGTGGGGTATTTTAAAAAAAATAAATTTAAAATTGCACTTTAAAACATTTATTTACAATTAAAATTTAATATGAAAATTTTTACAGCTACCTTTTCTTTTTTTAAACATTTTTATATAATTTACGTCTTTCTTGAAAATATTTTAGTTCCATATATCTGGTCTTTGTCCCTTCTATATTTCTAGGAGGAAAAGTCTGGCCAGACCAGACGCCTTCAATCGTTAATCCATTCATTGGCGAGTGGGTGTCAGTTTCCAGTCAGTTTGAACTTTTCAAATGGAATTTTAAACAAATGAAATCAGTGGCACACTGCAACAGCCACAAAAGATAAAGATAAAGACAAGAGTCTCTGGGACTCTGAATTTGAGTCTCAGTCTGAGTCTGAGTCTGAGGCAATTGAGATGAGAATTGGTTGACAAGACAGCGGTAACAGCAAATACAACAGGGGAGAAACACAACTGTCATTTGTTATTGTCTTTGTCCGTCACTTTGTTAGTCTGCTGCACACTTCACTCCACTCTAGATTGCAGTTTTTATTGCTGGCAATGCACTGGGAGAAATTAAATGGGAGCCAAAGACACCAAAGAAATTAAAGGAATCATAATAAAATAGCATATATTATTATATCTGGGATTATTGCTTATTAAACACAGGTTTAATTTTATTTTACCCTTAATTTTTCTATCAAAAAAAATTAAATACTATTTTTTCACAGCCCTTTTTAATTGTTAAATATTTTTCCCGGATATTAAATTATTTTTTTATCTTTAAAAATAAAGTTAGGAACTTAAATATCATATACATATTTATTTAAATTCATACAAATATTTTGTAATATTTTTTCTAGTGACTTCCAACAACTCCCTAGGCTGACAGCACCCACATTAGTTGGCTCAATAGTTTTGAAGCAGATTTCGTTGCCGTTGGACTTTATGATTTCCATTCATTTAGCGGCAAACAGGAAGAGAAAGTAATGCATTGCAGTGGCTTCAACTTGGTCTCAGTCTCTGAATTCGACTGTGACTTCAGCTTGGAGACTCCGGGGCGCTCTCACTTCATAAATTTACCAGGCAAGGTGTCAAGTCAATGCCAAAGAGCCCGAGAGCTGAGGACGCAGCTGAATCCGATTCCGAATCCGAATCGGAATTCGAAGCTGAAGTTGGAGTTTCGGTTTGGTTTTGGGTTTGGGTTTTGGGCTTGGGTCTGAGTTTTCAGTTTTGAGTTGAGGCTTCGCCAGTTGCTGGCCGCCAAGTGAATGACAGTTGCCACCTTGAAAACGGCTGCCGTTGGTTTTTGTTATTTTCATTTTTTATTTTTATAGCTGCTGCTGTTATCGAGGCTGCTGCTGCTGTTTTCTGCTGTTGCTGCTGCGGCAGCTGTCGTCGGACCAGCGTCAAGCTTTCATTTAACCAAAGTCAGAGGGAGAAAGAGCCAGGCGGTACACAGAAAAACATATTCACAGCCTCATGTTATTTTATGAAAATTGCAAACCAATAAATCTAGAATTAATTCTAAACTTCGAGGTAAGGAAATCATAGGAATTTTAAAAATTATAATAGCATTTTAAAGTTTAACGACCGGAGAAAGAGAGAAAACTAGAACTAGAACTAATAATTCTAGTCTTTCAAGATAAGGAAATCATTAAAATTTAAAAAAAATATAAAAACATTTTATAACTTAACGACAGCTTCTTTAAAAATAAAAATTGTATAAAATAGTTATCGAAATAATATAGAATAAAACGCCATATACATTTTTTTTAAAGTACACTGATAAAAAAATGGAATAGTACATTTAAATATCCGCATATTGAATCAAAAATTTCATATTTCGTATTTAAATTTAATACAAAAAACATTGTATTAAATACGAAACATATTAAATTGCATAGTTTAATACTAAAATATTTAAATCAAAGAAGAGCATATTTAATTTAAATTTGTTTATATTTATTTTTAAAAATATTATATTTATCGTTAATATTTTCAGAATTAAAAAAATCCGTATTTAAATTAAAAATGTTTCATATTAATTTTGAGTATTCAAATTATTTTATTTTAAAGTTTTTAATATTTAAAATAAAAATGTTTGTAATAATAATAAAGAAAGTGTCAATTTGAAAGGGTTTTTCAATGTTTATATCAAATAAAAACACCACAAGAAGATATCTTTTATATTTACGTACAAATTAATTAATTAAAATGTATTTTATTTGTACTATCACATTTAAATATGTTTCATATTTAAATATTAGTTTCTGCCATGTCCGTTTTTAAGTACGATAATATTTAAAATAAATATTTTAAGCTGACTTTAACAAAAAGATTTATTTCATAAACTGTATACTCATGTCCATACATTTGTTCAGACCAAACATTATACATTTTTAAAAACAAATTTATATACATTAAAGTAAATTGACATATGTACATATGTATGTACGTACATATGTAAATGGGCAGAACAAAAACGAAGGCGCTAAGATAATTCTTGGCGGTTTTTTTTTGTTCTATCCTACACACATTCTTTCGCGTTTGCTTTGATCAATGACTCTTCTTCTTGATCACTAAACGACGCGTGTTATTGAAGAGTTGCAGCCGAAGAAGTTGGACGTGTCGGGTCTTTATAAAAGTGAAGTTGGCATACAAATATAAAATTAAACTTGATCGCGCTATCAAAAAATCATGTGAAGTTTCTTTAAATAAATAAGTGTGTATGTTGGCAGCAACATTCAATGCCAAAAAGTACATTTTTCGCGGCATGTCTTTTCTTTAAACTGTATTCGGCCATACATACATATGTATGTACATATGTACAATTGTTTCCGCTTTTTCAACACGGCACGACGCTTGCCATTTCATAATTGCAGCCAAAGAAGTAGGACGTGTCGTATCTTTTTTAAAGTGAAAATAGTCTAAAAATTAATATGTGCATATGTGTGTATAAAAGTTAAATTAAAATTATCAAAAATATTTTACTCGTACTGCGTTTTCCTAGAATACAACAAATTAGCGCGCGCCGTTACACGCATACATATACATACATACATATGCACGTAGAATGTATTAATTATTAAGTGGATTAAAATTTTCGGTTCTCAGAAACGTATGTATGAACATACAATCAAGTGCAGCTACACACACATACATAACACACCGTGCGTTTACCGTTGCTTGGTCGCCAACAAAGTTGAGCGTGCCCTAGCGAACACACACATGTATGTACATTTTCTGCAACACATCTACCCACACACAGCGTGCGTTTACCGTTCCTGGCAAAGTCATAGGTAAGTAAAAAACGTAGAAATAAATACATTTTTAAAAGTAAGAATACGGCAAAGTAGGTTTTAAATTAAATATGTAATACATTTTTTCTATATCATTCCTCGCAGTGGCAAACAAATACATTCTCGAACCAACATACATATATGCCAAATATACAAATTCCAGAACGAAGCATATAAAACTGGATAAAATATTGGAGGTTCCTGTTGAGAATAAAACCGATACTCGGCGTAAGGATGTGAAAACTTTCGATGGAGCTGAGCTTTTGAAAGTATGGCCAAAATATGCTGACTCGCGGGCGCCGGAATTGGTAATTTATAATTTTAGTCAGACTACATTCGGATTTTGTCTTTTTATTTATTTTTTTTGTGCTCTTTTGTTGTTTTCTTTCAGGTCCAAATCTTTAACCATTCATATTTTGATTGATCTCTTTAAAACGAAATCTATAATTTTCTTTTTTATCTTACTATTTATTTCGCAGATAACTTACAAAACTAATTAGTGTTTAGCTATTAAGATAGGTAATACTCTAAGATTGTTTAAAGTACTTTCTTTCGTTTATGAATTGACAACTGTGTATGTAGCGTGTAATGCTCTAGAAGTTAAAACATGCAACCATTTGCAGGCATATGAATGTGGAATAATTAAAAATGTATTAGTTCTTAAAAACATTGAAGAGTTTTCAAGCCATCCAATGCACATGTATGTATGATGTAAATGCTAAAAAATATGTTTTATACAGATCTCTGTAAAATAAATATAAGTGTAACTGTATTATTTGTACCTTCCAGCAAGCCGTAATGAAAAATAAATGTTTAAATAAAATCGAAAAAACAAAAATAAAAGTTGTGTACTAATTTTTTTAGTGTACCAAAAATATTTGAATACTTATCATATTTAATATTATGATTGGCATATTTTGAATAAATATGTCTAGTATTGAATCTTAATACGACTTATATTGAATTTTAATATTTCGGTTATTCATTTAACTATTAAAATTTTAGAATTTAATATGGTTTCTATTTATATTAAACACGTGTACTATTTAATTCAAATTTTAAAAATTTAAAATCAAATAGTCATAATATTAAATAGAAATATGCATTGTATTTAATTTAAATATGGCTTATATTTAACTTAAATATTTAAAATATTAAAATCTATTCCGAAAATATTTAAATTTAATATGGAAAAAAAGGTTAATATGCGCATATTGAAATTTAATAAAAACCGCAATGGATGAAAATCAAAGCGAAAAATATTTGGGTTGAATATGAAATATTTGGATTTACTACGTTTTTTTATCAGTGTAGAATTCTTTTTCGGTAACGTGTCGTATACGTAATATAAAATATTTAAATGGAATAGGTGAAAAGTCTTGTTGATTTTTAAAGTAACACAAGCTATGCAGAGAGCACAAAATTTAAGTATATTAAAAATAAATACATTTTCATTTAAGGAAAAAGTTTTAAGTAGCTTGTCTTAACATTTTAAATTTAAGTAGTGGGTATTTTTAAAGTAACAGAGTTATATAAATCAATACAATTTAATATTACAAATATTTTAAAATGTTTTAGTTTTTATTTTCCACTTTAACATCGGTAATAAAAACATCGTGACACTTTGCCATCCCAAAAATGACTCACACACCCAGTAGTTTATGATGTTTCTTTTTGTTTTGGCTCCGCTGCTTTGCCCTCGCCATGTGTGTGTTTGAAAGCAAATTTCATTTCATTTCTTCATTTGATTTCATTTCGCCGACTGCCACACCAGGCCATCAACTCCCCCCGTCTCAGATACTTTCCTTTACTTTCATTTGAGTGAAAGATACTCGAAGACGCGGCTCCCACTCTTTCTTTTTGTGGCTCTCTGCGAGATGGAAAGAGTGCTCTTTGCGCCGCTGGACGTTTTCATTTTTCAGTGAAAAGGACCAATTTCAATTTCACATCGGCTCGCTTTCAAATATATATATCCACGAGATGCTGTGTAGTTAATTATATGTGCATGGCTATCTGGCAGCTGCATTCGCCGCTTGCCGCTCATTTGTAAAAGTATCTTATAGATAAACAGGAAGTAAAGTGAGTTCCATTGGTCGTGGATGCCGCCGCTTTTTGCGCTGTATTTCATTTTAGTTTTCCTCAACACAAAAATTAACTTTTACCTGCAATACGGTTTTATTTTCACTGTGCAGATTAGCGAAGTTTTTCAAATTGCATTTTCCAATGGGTTTTTCGCCTATTCACAGGTGGGCGTTTTGGCCGAAAAGCGCTGGGAGAAAGGCTACATTTAATAGCTTCATTGTGAGTTGAGTGAGTTGAATGAGGAAAAGTTGGCAAAATTAAATGGCACGTTTGTATACAAAATTTATTGCAATTTCGAATTTAATAAGCAGGTGATTTTAATGTGGCTGCTTATGCAGTATTTAACATCATAACATGTTATAAATGGTTTTGGTTTGGCGAACAGGTGTGTAATTCCGTTTTTCAGGATATAAAATTCAAAGAAAAATAAAAAACAAATTATTAAAAAATAATCAGTATGTAATAAGTAATTTTCTCGACCCTTTTGTCTTGAAGAACAGCAATTTCCTTTCTTCCACTACATTTTCCCACAAACTCATTCAATATTTCTGCTTTTCACCTGAGCTCGCATAATCAGCTTCATCTGCCGCTTACAAGCTAAGTAAATACTTTCTAACAACTATCAAATTTCACAGGCCGGCAAAGTGTTAAATTCTCGACAAGCGATGCAGGCGAAGCGATAGGCGCGGTGGTTAACAAGAATTCCCCATCTCGCTCTATAAGGTGAAAGCGCCAGAGATTAGATGGCATAATTTTCACGCTTTTCCGCTAAAATAAAAAAGGGGGAAAAAAGAAGTGCGCTTCCCTTCAGACCCGCAGCAACTGAAAACTGAGAACTGATTTATTATACAAATTAAAAAAGCGACCACAAAGAGGCAGGGAAAACCTTTAGTAATTAGTGAGAACTTTGCGCCGTGTCATGCAAATGAGGGGAGAGATGGCCGGGCAGAAGGGACGATAGAAAATGATGAACACGAGATCAAAGTGGATAGATAAATATGCTAGAGAAGCGGGGTCCCAAGAGATATAATGGAAGCGATTAGCAACAATAAAAAACAGTTGATGTGCCGGGCAGGCCCGTACTCCGATTATACATATTAAAAAGCCAGAGAGCTGGAAGCGGCCATACAAGTTGAGACGACATTAAGTAGCTACAAGATACACACTCCAAACCGCAGCTCTGCTCTTGAGATACTTTTGGACACGAAGCGGAAACACACTCACACCGCCTCGAAAGAATCGAGGGACGATCAACGAGAAGCGGACAGCGGACAAACGGCAGTGCTGACAACTGAAGAATAAAATAACTAGCTAAACCAAATTTAGTTAAAGATATAAACAAAACATCATGTTATTTGGAAAAAATAACCATTTTTATATAAAAGACAGATATATTGAGACGGCACATATTAATACTCTGACTTTATCTAACAATGTAAAGTTGAAACCATGTAATTTTTTTTTTTTTTCTTAAAAAAAAACCTATTCAAATCCCAAAAATGGTTTCCTTTATTTACCTTCAGATGTGATAAACATATTTAAAAAAATTTTATAAAACTATCTTTCTTATCCTAATGTTTAATCATAGTAACTTATAAAAACGGAAGTTTTGGTACTGGGGCTCGAACTACGGAAGTCTGAAGCTACAAAATAGCCAAATCGGCACCTCTGATATATGGACAAACAGACAGAAGCAGAAGGCACGCCTTTGAGCGACTTAACTCTTTGGCTACATCATAAATTTTTAATGTGAAGATGTGCAGAGAGATGCAGCCACAAAAAGACAGAAGACAGGCGACAGCGTAGCACCAGCGACAACAACAACAAATGGAGACCAGCAGTCGGGATCGCGTATCTTAAAGATACAAATTACAAGCGGTAGACATTGAGATTGAGGCCCCGGCAGCAACAAGAGCAATAAATAAACATCGCCGATATACGGAGGTAGCATGAAAATGATTAAAAGAGCTAAAGACCATGTCTCCGCGGCGTTTCATTCCGCCCCGTTTCAGGGCCAACCGCCAACCGGTGGAACGCAGCGGCAAACGGAACGAGCAATTTATGCAAATGTCGAGGAAGCTGAAACGTGCGAAAGGAAACATACATATAACGCTCGGAATCGCTTAATGCATCCCAAAGTCGGGGGAGCCAAGGGTCTCGGACTCTGTTTCTGTTTCTGTCAGTCTCTGGGGCCTGTCATCATTTTTGTCACGCACATTGCCATTCGAAGGCTTCTCTCTTCGCTGTCGGCTCTTCTGTCACAGAAGACGACTCTTCTGCCGTGTGTGTCTTCAGCTTCTTCATTTTCTACAGCTGCTTAGCTTCTTTGTTTCTCTTTGTTGCTTTGAATGCCGCCTGCCACTCGAATTCAATTTGTTAAGCGTTTAAGCGTGCCGGAACGAAACAAACTGGAATGGAACACCCTAGTGAGGCTACAGTGGAATGAAACTTTAGGTTATGTTGTATACTGTGCGTGTGGCGGCAAATAAGACAAAGAAGTATTCAATTTAAACCCATATGTACTTTGTTTGATAAAACTAGGACTGTTTATGAATTCATTTTATAAGAAATGCCGATGTAAAAGTTTTAAAAGACATTATATGCCTTAATATTTTTCGAGAATTACATCTTTTTCACATGCTTAAAAGGCCCATAAACCACTGTTCGATCAGACGTCCGTTTTCAGCGAGGCACTCATAAATCGCTTGTGCCGTGCTCGGGCTGCTTATGTTGTTACCGCTGACTCTTGTAGGGCTCTCGTGGGCCGGCTGCCTCGTAAGTATCTTTCGGATTTATGCATTGTTTATGTTGAAATCCCAGCGTGGTTATGTCTGGTGCGGCCTGTCTGTCCGACGTCCATTGATTTCAATTATAACCCAGTTTCATTAATGCAGTTTACTTTAACCCCTCTACACCACGGACTGTATGTATATACCTATATATTATATATAGTGCTCTCTTTTCGGCCTTTTAGCTCACTTTTTGAGGTTGGCTTGGCTTGGCTCGCGGTCCGCAATCTCATTGTCAGATAATTATCACTGGGGCGGGTGTGCGTGTGTGTACTTTTGGAAACCCTGACCTGAAACGATATTATTTCTGTTTACTTTTGCTTAGCCTCTGTGTGGACTCTAATGTGCGTTTGTTTCGCGAGCTATTTGCGGCACATTTTCAGTCCAACTTCCCTAGTTCAAATCTTCTGTAACTCAAATAGCATTGAGAAAACTTTTAGACAAAGTTAGTATTTATTTTTTAAATGACATACCACTCAGAAAAGTCTTTTACAATATCCTCTACCTATTTGATCCATTCCCCTTACCCAACCCATTTTTATGGGATTTTCTAACGGATATTGATTGTGGAACATGGAAAATCTACCAACGACATACATGGAAAATCGCTCTGCTATCGAAATCGATATTTGAACAAAGGCAATTACAGATAATGGGTGGTATGGTGGGGGCTGTATCGTTGTTGTGGTCTCTCGCATATAATTACCATTAAAT